GCTGCAGCCGGACGGCACCTACAGCACCGTGGACTCTCACCAGCTGGTGGCCATCCACCCCTCCTCCGTGCTCTTCCACTGCAAGCCCGCCTGCGTGGTGTACAACGGGCTGCTCCACACCAACAAGTGCTACATGCGGGACCTGTGCGTGGTGGATGCGGACTGGCTGTACGATGCGGCGCCCGACTATTTCCGCAGGAAGCTTCTGGCGGCCAAGAACTGACCCGTGGCTCAGGGACTGACAGGCCCAGGGTTTTCGGGCTCACCCTAAAGGACCATTTTTATTTTGTAGTGAATGTACGGGAGGAGCAGAGCCTTGCCTCGCCAACCACACAAAAACCTTAGAGGACAAGGGCTTCTCCATGAGAGCCAGACCTCACAAGCCCCTGTGGCTTAGAACCGTCATCCTTTCGAGCAGTCAGTCTGTGAAAGGGGAACGGAGTGTGTGCTCTGTGCCTGTGTGTGAGAACTCCGTACTGGGGGGTGGAGGGGAGCTGGTGTCAGATTCCAGTTTCTAACACTTTAAGTTTAGCAGGCTTCTATATGAGGAAATTAAATCCTAGGAGCTCTTCTGAGCAGATTCGGTATTTTTGATGATTGTGCTTATATCCTTAGCAGGTTTTATTGGAGAAAAAAGGAGAAAAAAGTTTTAGATTTCTGCATACAGGGAAAAAAAGCCCTTTTTTTTTGCTTTTTTTTTTTTTTTACTATTTCTAGAAGGGAGGTGCTACTGTCTTTTACCTCATCAAACATCTTTCTGCCTGCATGTCACATTCCCCGTTTTACTTGGGACCGTACGAAGGCCAGTAATGGGAATGTCTGCTTGGACAAGGTCTTCACTGCTTGTGTCCAAGCCTCAGTGGCCTCTTGGAGAGGTTGTCCAGCTCCTGTGTGTTTGGTGTCATCTTTGTTCACCCTTTTGCTGTTAGGGCATGTTGTTCCTCAGCAAATGCTTCTGGCTTTTCTGACTCTATCCGTGTGCTTCTGGCTTTGGACTTGGCACACCATCCACAATGGCTGAGCAGGAAGACTCAGCAAAATGAGAATGAAGACATGGTTTAGAGGTTAGACTTCCTTTAAAGGTACTTGATTCATCAAATGTTTGCATCTTCTGCTCTCACGCCAGTTCTTCTTCCCCCTTCTGCCTCCCCCAACCCTGTCCCAGTTATACTTCGGTTTGCCATTAGAAGTTTGGAGCTTGACATCGTCAGGAACCACAGATCTACCATGAGTATCTACCATTTGGGGTTTTTTTCTTCCATATCCTTGGCATCCATCTATCTCTTTTTTTTCCCTGTTGGAGAAAAGTGGCAATACCGAACTTAATTGTCTCTTTAAATGCTGGAATTAAGAAACTAGTGCCACTCCAATGGGAAAACTTGTTCTTTAATGTGAAGGAAAGTGTATCACTGTGTTGGTGGGGGGAAAAATATACGTTGTTTTTGAAATGGGATCCTAAGTACTTCTAAACTAACCTCTCTGGGAGAGGGGACTTCCAGTTTCAGCAGTCTGTTGACATAGCGCAGTAACTTAGATGCTTTTCTGGATGAGCTGAAGTAAATGCAAGTTCGGGGTCTGGAGGGGCGGCAGGGGAAGCTGCTCTGCTCGTGCAGCATCCCGTCTAACAGCGGGGTTAGTTTACGGGGGCTGCGGTGGGGTTGTGCTGGTCGGTCCTTGGATCCTTCAAATAGCAACTTAAAAAAAGCTTTTGCCAGCAGGGCTGCTCGGGGACGCAGTCCCGCTGGCTCTTGGCAGCCCTTCAGCGCTCCTTTTGCCTGGGGAGAGCAGCTGCCTTTGCTCGTGATCCGCGGGGCTGAGCTGCGTTGGCCAGGTGATAACTTGTCCTTCCTGGTTACGCGCAGCACGGCCACATAACCCTGTAATGCGCCTTCTCTTGGGGCACCGGTATTGGCTTGCCTTGGGGTTTCTCTTTGGAAACTGGGGCAAACACCTCTTTTGTTCTTTTTTCTTATTTTTGTTTTTAACTGGAATGTCACAATCTGGAAATTGCTGTCTCCCAAAGAGTGAAGTAGGTCCCTGGTGTACGGGAACGGCCTCGTCTCCGTCTGTTCCGAGGAAGGGCGATACTGAACGGCCGCAGGGGCGCAGGGGGGAACGGACACACAGCCCTTTGTTGTGCCTCTTGGCAGTATTGTTCTTTGCTGGTTTGAAAAAAAAAAAGAAGAAAAAACCCCAAAACATGGTGAGTGGGGCACAGGCGAAAGAGGCTGCTGCTGTATGTGTGACCAGCTGCAGTTCTGGACTGGTATTTCAAGAGCGTGCAGCTATGTCAGTCGCTCTCTCTCACGCGAATTGCAGGGAATTATCAAAGCACTTTGTTGGTGTTACGGACTCCGTGTTTGTAGAAATGCGGTATTTCTGTAGTAGAAACAGGAAAACAGTATAAGCACATTTTGTTTGGGCAGTCTGATTGAAGTCTAAGGGAGGGGATGGGTGTTTATTTGGAAGTAATTTGCATATTTTTCCCAAAATAAAGTGATGGCAAAAATCCAAGTCCTGGATGTTGTTTTGTGAGACACGATGGCTGTGCGGAGGGAAGGAATGGCCACAGACAGACCCTGGGGTGCAGGGCCCAGCGGCGTCGGTCCTTGTGGGAGCATCTGTCCGAAGCAGCCTGGGGGGTCTGAGGTGGATCAGTGAAGCTGCGCTTCGCACGCAGAACCGGGCCTGTTGTGACGGTTGCGGTGCTCCCGCTCCGCTGTGGAGCTGGGAGCAGGAATCCTGGTCCCTGGGGGCGAGGGCGATGCCGTCCTACGGCCTTGCGCACCTCAGCAGAGGGCAATAATGTTCCCAACCTGCAGCGGTCAGAGAAACTTCCCTACAACAGATAAGGAGAGACGTCCTTTATTGACGATGCGCACCGGGGACGTGGGATCCTTCCCAAAGATGTCCCCTGCACGTTGCAATCAACAAATATTTATCTATTAAATCCATACATATTTAGTTTATATTCATTTTCATCCTCTCAATGATTGGTTCTTCTTTTCTCGCTTCTGATGCAAATGAGTGCACAGCCTCTGTCATAGTCTTCTGTTGTTCTCTTTTAAGTAGGGGGTACAATTTGGGTGGGTGGTCCGTGAGTCGGAGGTCTCGACCACTCCTCAAATTGACCGTGTATGGTCAGGGAACATGTCCTTGGCTCGTACCTGCTTCAGTCATGACTCAAAGATTATACACAGCAGGTACCATCATAAATCCTGTCTTGCAGACATCTTGGACTACAACAGACTGTCCTTGTTTCTAACCACTAACAGAGCATTGGTTAATGAGTACCTGAAGTCTGGGGCTTTACGAGGCTGTGCTAGCAGCATTGGCAATACAGATTTTATTTCATGTTTGATCATTTATTCCATTTGAGACTCTTTTTTCCAAAATAATCATTAGTCTCTCCTACTAATATCCACTAATTAGAATTCTTGATATTCAAATCAAGATGGGAAAAGTAAGAGGATTTCTAAGCAATATCCTAAAACCCTAAATCTGGCGATTTCTGCAACAATAACAGTGCCAGCTTGTAGGCAGAGGGAGCGCCTCATCTTGCCGTGGTCAATTTTCCCTCTAAAACATTTATTTGATAAAAAAGGAAAAAAAATAATAGATTTTTTTTTCTTCTTTTTCGGAATAAAGGGCGGAGGCCCTGCCGGCAGGCTGGCTGTTCCCGGGAGCCCGGCCAGGCAGCGCGGCTCTGCCCCGGCGCCGCTTTCCCTGCTGCCGTCGCGTTTCCCACCTCCCTGAAGCTCCTC